TTTTCCAAAAAATATTGAAAACTCGGGAGCTCTTTGCCATAAATTCACAAAATTTTGTAATCCGTCAAAATTTAAGAATTTGCCGAGGCATCTGACAAAATGCCTGATTTGCCTGCGACATTTATACCGGAATATTTCAAAGAACATATTAGGACAAATAACTTCAAACGCTGATTAGACAATTTGTTTTGTTTTGAAATTTCCAATTCAGGAAACTTAGTTTTGATAGAAAGCTACATTTAAAGTTGAATAGCTTATTAGAAGATGAGCGAAACCACCGAAAGTCATGTTGGAAGAAAACATGAAAAATATTGATTTTTTTGACAATTCTTCATATTTCCGATGGAAAAACTAACCGATATTCAACATACCATCTGTAATAAGACCACGGTCTTACGAGAAGTGTCGCATTAACTGTGCAAGAAATGAAAGTTTTTATAATGTTAGTGAAAACGCCCATTTCCCACAAAACCGCAGAATACTAGCATTGTGGAAGTCAAATAGCATACGGAAGTTGGATGAAATGATTTAAATCATATAGTTTGTGCCCCCTTTTAATGGTTTTCATCATGAAGAAGCACCCTGCACCGGGCTACGCCCTGACGTATAATGGCTAGCGACTTGATGCAACTATTCATGTTTAACGGATGTCCTAGTTGCATACCTTGAAAATTGAAGGCGTTCGGGTTTTTTTGTGTTCATGGCATTCTGCAGATGCGGAACTAAGTAACTGACGGGCTCATTCTGACCTATGGGCTAATATCCTATCCACTCATTGTAATGGATCAGTTTTGCTGGTCACCGATTCGTGTTTAAATGCGGTTGATTCTTGTAGATGAGCTAAACATAATAAGATCCGTCCAAATATCACATTTCTACGTTCAATATTAACTGAATATCGCGCTTTGAAAAATTCGATTCATGACGTCATACACCGCGATAGTGACACATTTGGTTTGTTCCACCTTGTATTCATCCGAGTATTACGTTGAGTAACCAGTGAAAATATGTGTCTCCGTGACACATGAAAGGAAGGTGGAAGAAACCAAGGGTGTCGATCCCGTGGTGGATGATGTCATAACCCGAATAGGTCAAAGCGAAATATCTCAGCTAATATTGAACGTAGAAAGTTGCTGTTTGGACAGATATCATTATTTTAAGTTTATGTACAAGAATCAATGATTAAAAGAAGATTCTGAGAGCAGCGCAACTGAGCCATTGCGAACAGAACACATTGAGGTAAGATTGAAGCTGATATCGCATTATTTGGCAAAAGTGGGTTTGAAAAGTTTTTTCGCCTTACGCGATCCTTTCCTGTCATTATTTTCAATTGCATCATATATGAAGAGGATACATCCACAGTGAAACCACCAGACCACGTATCTGACACGTATGTTCGCGACGCTGTATACTTCCTGTCATACTTTGTTCTCTAAATGGAAAACTACTTCACGCCAACTCTTGATAACTCCCGTGTTGTTTTCTTCTGTGTACGAAGAAAACTCTGGGAAAATTTCAGGAAATAATGTTGATTTGTGCTCCTTTAAAAATATAAAATGGGAGCGGAGATTTTATAACACCGCATCAACGAGATACGTGGTTTAGTAGTTTCATACCGTTTGAGCTCTTTTATTTCCAAATCGAAATCGATGATCAGGGTGTCGGCCACGATCACTTTAATAGTAAGCTGAGTTCGCAGTATTTTTCATAATTTTTCTCTAATATTGGAAATTATAGAAAAATAAATTTGAAACTGAGAAAATGTACCGCGTTGTGACGTCATCGGGTGGCACGAACACCAGCAGATTCGGTTATTTTTTTAAATTTTCTCGATTAATTGTTCAATTTAGAAACCAAGAGTTTTCTCGTGCTCAGTTCTTTTTGTAGTTTCATGAAAAATGAAATTTACCAAATTTTAGACCCCTGCAAATTCTCCATTTTACTTCGCATTCATGTCACACAGACTTTTCGGGCGCTATACTCTAGCACCGAATGCACCCCTCAATTTTTAACAGTGTAGAGCGTTATCAGAGTTGCACAAGTGGAATGAAAAATATGAAATATTGAAAATTTCCTTGAAACGTTTCATGAAATTTCACAAAGTTGTGGAATTATGAAAAATATGGAACATTTTTTCAGGGGCTGAGCACTCGACCACACCAAAAAGCAAAAACGAGTTGCCTCCATTCAAGTTTGCATTTAATGTCGAAAAATATCCTTCAATATTATTCATATTTTTCTGAAATTTCATGAAATATTTCACATGAAATTTCAAGATTTTGTTTTTCATGAAAAATTGCAACGCCGAGCGTAATACGTATAATTTATGAACGCTTTCCGAGCTGTAATTTTGTATCGCGGTAACAGCGTGGTTCTGAAATTATGTAACCAGTAGTTCGGTCGACAGTTTCACGCACGACTCGTGATTATTCCTGGAATTTGCGTGATATGTGTCAACGACGTGAGGTATCTGTGGCTTTGGGAAGCCCACTGAGTGCTCTCCGCGATTTCGCTTCGTTACTCTGTCAAGCTCGGTGTTGAAAGCTCGCGGAGATCGCGAGCTGGAATTCGACGAAATTTTCAGAGTTTCCCGGGGAAATTGGCGGAGCTGGGTTTCCCCTGGGATGCCTTCCCTTAACTCACCGCGCGCTCGCGAATTTCGTCGATTGATGTCTGTAAAGTGTGTTCATTGCATACGTCACTCGGTAAATGGGATTCCCAAACGTGGTTTCGTTCGGGGGAAAAAAGAGAGAGGAATCCGGAATTGCGGCCGCTTTCTCCTCGTCCTCAAGCATTTAATTCAACTGAATCCGCGCGTTTAAAAAAACGGAGAAGAATGAACAAGCGTATTATTTCGATGAAATGAGCCGCGTTTTTTATGCCGGCCTCTCGAGTGCTTTCCAGTCAACAAATCCACTCGCTCGCTTCTAATAATCCTGCATTTTTGCAAGAATGTGTGACCTCTAAAGGGGGAATATACTTCTTTTCAAGGGGGTACATTTTTCAGGATGGAAAACTTTATCGAGTTGGCTCGAAAAATCTGGTTCTGCGTTTTTACTGGGAAATCCTTGCTTGAAGTTTTTAGCAGTAAACAGTAGTTTCCAGTCAACAGATCGTCACCTTCCGGTTAAAGTATCACAAGTGCCATGCAACGTTTTAAAATTTCCGCCGCCATTTTAATTTTTTAACAGAGAGATTTTTGGTTCAATCTATTTCAAAATTTCTCTGAATTTTATTGGCAGCACAAAGAAAATTCAGTGATATTTTCGGACAGTATCGCTGAACAATTTCTCTGTAAAAAAATAAAATGGTGGCGGAAATTTTGAAAAGTCGCACGACGCTTGTGATACTTTGGCTAGAGGAAATCCACTAACTCTGTTCTAGTAATCCACCATTTTTGAGGATGTGTGACCTCTCATGGGCGGGGAAAGATACCTCTAACCTCCATTCAGGAGGGTAAATTTTTCAGGAGAAAAAATTTTATCGAGTTGTGTCGAAAAATCGGACTCTGAGTTTTACTGGGAAATAGTTGCTCGTAGTTTTAAGCAGTCAGTAAGCAGTTTAGTTCTACTCCGTGCAATAGAGCAATGGACCACTAGACAAGGTCTGAAGTAGAAAAAAACGTCACATGTTTTCTCTTCAATTTCTTGCATAGGAAACAATACTCACAGCGGAAAGTATTGCGAAAAACTTCCAAGGAAAAAAAAATAAAGTTTACCCCGTGCGTACATTCCGATTTCTCGCTCACAAAAAACTGAAGTCCACGCGAGTTTAATCGAGCACTCAACTAATTTCAGCGCAGAATAATTTTTTTTCCGTATGCTCAATTTTTCTCATCAAGTCTACAAGGCTCGGGAATCAGACGAAGATCGTTTAGTTAAATTGGACGGATAAACTAGAACCAACTAAGTGCATCGTCACCTAATTTTTTCCACGCCAAAAAAAAGGATGCTGATTTACATTCTGAATGTAAAAAAGTGTGCGACAACTCACAGAACGCTGAATCAACCGCCACATTAGCTAGTTTTACATCTTGACACTGCTAAAGTAACTGCTGTAGCGGTTAATTCTACGTTTTGTGAGTTGTCGCACACTTTTTGACATCCAGAAAGCATCCTTTTTTCGGTGATAATGTCGTACTTTTTAAGCAGATAACTAACCAACACTGAAAATTCTTCTAGGTAGTGGTACCGATTTTTTAATTTTTAGAGTTTTGTTACGATGACCTCTTTCCCGAGGATGAGCAGTGAGCACTGCTGTGAAATTCCTAACGAGGGAACGTAACTCCATTCTAATGTTGCAAAATTGACTCAAAAGTCAGTTTTTTACAAGAATCTAACTTGATTCTGCCTAAATTTTACTTAATTGCTTGTAATCAAAATTAAATTTAACATAATTTCTGTGAGGGAAACTAAACGGTTCCAGGTAGAAATATAATCTGCGCGTGAAAATTTTGCAACATTGAATTGACCGTATTCATGTTCAAAGGAACTACGTGCGTTGGGCTTTGTGAGCAAAATAGTTCCTCACAGCGTTCAAATTGTGGAACGACAAGGAATTTTGTTCCTTTTTCAAACTGCAAATAGTTTATGGGACCGAGATAAAGTTGGATTTTCCTGTGTCTTAGAAAGAGCTCAATTAGAGGAGAACGTGGTGAAACTCTCGGAAACTTAATGCAGAAACTTTGAAAGTGTCCTTTGTACCCAATTGAGGACTAGATCGAAGTCCAGATTCAATTTTTGGCAGGATAACTCAACGTAACTCAATCATAGTTTGTATGCGCGACATGACTCTTACATTGTTGCGCGATGCGGCAGTTTTTGAAAATTCCTAGTATTTTGTAAAATTACATTGAGGTTGGTAATTTAACTTTAGGAACTAATTGTCCTAAATTATAAGATTTTACCCGAGCCTGCGCTTCGTTTGGCTGCTTAATAGTGCTCTATAATGTATTGTGGATGAGTACATAACGCTAATACGCGAATTGTGTGTGTTTACAGGATATTTCGGCTCAAGACGCTCTATGAATTTCCGATTGCTTTTTATGGTAAGCCATTAAACTAACATTTTGTCTCTGTAAGTGAATTCCGCTGTTTTTTATAGTTCAGTTTTAGCTTTCTCTCTGAAGTCTTATAAAATGTTTTTTCCCCCTCACGTTGTGTGCTGCCACTATTAAACCAATGGCGTGACGTGCTTTTCGATGATTTGATTCAGTGGCGTGGCGTGAATTGCGATGTATCGATTGTTATGCCATTTAAATCTATGTTAAAGAATCGATTATTATGGTGTTCGCTGCAAACACCGATCCTTCCCATAGGTTTAAATGACAGATCAATCGATATATCGCAAAGCACACCACGCCACTGTGAAACCTGTGGAAAAGGATGAATGAAAAGGGCGTTTGAAAGGAACACCATAATAATAGATCCTCTACCATAGCTCCAATCAGGAAAATATTGATAATCGATTACGACGCTTTGTTGCTGCGTTACGCGAGGAAAAGAATGACATGATATGTGATATCTGAACGCCAGGTTAGTCGGTAGTCCTCAACAGTCTATGATCGTACTTGTAAACAGCCGATGGCTGTCGTCAGGACATATCTCCCGCAAATGGCGAAATTTTTTCGTCTCTATAACGTAATGGCTTATCTCAAATCCACTTGAGCTTTGTTTGACGTATATTCCATGCTTTCTAAGGCTTATGCAGAAATCTAGATACGCCCTTACCTCAGAGGAGCGACGGATTTTACTGGACTCCGGCAGTCATATGGATTGTTGACATGAAGACTACTTTTATTTTTCTCCGTTAAATTCCGAAAATCCGTTTCTCCGAAATTTATAGATAAAACTATAGACAAATAAGACATAAGGAGTATAGAACGACCCTATTGGTTGAAATGGGTAGTTCTTATAGACTAAGGGGGTAAATGATGGATTATCTATAGCGTGGGTTGCCGTTAGTTAGTCTATTACCTGCGTTCTTTGTCCATTGCAACCACCCGCTTCCACCAATAGGATCCCTTCATATCCTTTTTGTCTTTTTTGTCTATTGCTTTGTCTATCAATTTCAATAATCATCTCGCTGAGACGGATGAGCGGACCATCAAATTTTTAAGAAGAGTTCCATTGGTTGCGCTAATCGATTCATCGCTATGACTTTATCAATTCAGTGGTTCAACTTCATCTGGACGTACTTCTGTCAAACGGAACTATATGCATTATGACGTGAGCCCTGTTATGCATATATTTTTATGGCTCACCTCAAGTTAGGTTTAGGAACTTCGAGGAAAAAATGTATTAAATTTCCTCGGGGGAGGGGGGGGGTGAATAAGAAGAGCATTGGAACACATTTTGTCTTTGCTTTAATCGAATATGCCCGAGTTGTAGCGGTCGCGAAGCTCGGGAACCGGCCGCATCAGTCCGGTTGGGTGAAGTTAGGTCACGCAACTAAACTAACTTCACGGATATGCTGGAAGTATCACTCAAATTGAAGGCGCCTCAATCCTGAATCTCTACGCACTGTTTCTACGACTTCGATCAATTGAACTTCCTAGGCCAATATCCCTCTCAGTAAACTACAGGCAGTCATGCTGCGGGGAAAACAGCTACTTACTAATTTGATGTTGCCAAATGTATTCTTATAAAGTTCAGATTTTTCTCAGAAACGTGTGTAATTTTGAAGAAAGTCTTATTCTCAATATCTCAGCGTACTTATACATTTTTTGGAGAAATATTCATACCTCTCTTGACTATGTTCCATTCGTTTGACCTTAATTAACTCTAAATGACTGTCGTTAACGTTACTTGACTCTTATTTACGCATTTTGGCTCTAGAATTCCTATCGACGGTAAATTATTTATTTGTTATTTGAATATTTTTTTAACTTATTCTTGCCAAAATAGACTAGAGACGTGTGGAAAAGATGAGATGTGCTTGTTTGAGCTGCATAAGAAAAAATGTAAAATGTAGGCGTGATTCCTTTTGGCAAAATGGAAAAGTGGGATTTGACATTGAATAAAAAGGAACCAAGCGTCATAATATGATAACTCATGAGTCATGAATATGTAACAAGAGCGTTGTGGACAGGGCTTATGAGTTACAGAGTCCCCCCGTGGATCTTGTTGTTATGCTCGAGCTGTGTGTGCATGTGCATGCAGTTCGGACCGTGTCACTAAAATGCAACTTTACTTTGCAACACTGGAAACCGAGACGTAGTATACATGTCACTCTAGTTCTAGCTGCACCATCAAGTATTTTTTTTTTTTTTTTTTTTTTTTTTTTTTTTTTTTTTTTCCTTCCAATCGCGAGACGTGCCGATCTGATCACAATCTGTTCCACGCGGGAATTACGTTGAATCCCGTGGGAAGTTGCGGGTGTGTAACGGGAGAAAGGAATCAACAGGAACACTTAAACGACACATACACTTCAAGATTGAGTGCGATTCCCGGAGCTCCCCAACGCCGCGTGTCGTACTACCGTGCTGAGGAAAAACGCCGTATGAACCTTCAAACGTTGCCAAATTTCCTTTGGTGAAACACGACTTTCTCGGTAAAAATATGAATATTTTTCTTCCAATTTCTCAGATAATTTTTTTCGCAATTTCATCCAAAGTCCCTGAAAGTTTCACGCAAAAATACGCATAAATATCCTTAAAAATAATCATTTTAGTGAAGGTAGTTTGGCAACGCTCGATCGTTCATACGGCGTTTTTCCTTAGCACGGATGATTCAGTCTAAACCCATGAAAAAGGATCGATCATCAGGGTGTTCCTTAATAATCGACTCTGTATCCTGGATTTAAATGGGATAGTATCGATCTTCGATATTCGCCGAAGGAAGGATATTGACGCTGATACTGCAAAACAACTAATGGCGTGTCATGACTGGAAATTTAAAGGAAGCGTCACAGAGGGGGAATGTTTGGTAGGTGTATCATCGCTATTTCGCGGATAGGTAAAGTACAATCCTCGGTGCAGTGATAATCTTATACCGTGCACTCCCTGCAATAACTCTCGTTCAACTTCACTTGATAATCCTCACGCTGACTCTGTTGTAATCTGGCAATGTTGTATTATTGTTTATAATCAAGTGTCAATTAATGATACATACGACTTGATACACATACGATACGAATATAATAATTGCATCTTAAATTTCTCGTGAGAATATGTTTTTCTATACAATCTGTCCATATTACGCCATGTGAAAATGTATCTCGGTTTGCGATGTGGCAGATTTCCTGCATGTCTACTCAAGGGATTTCACCAAACTATGATGAGTTGAGAAACGTTATTCTTTAGCCAAAACATCGCATCTCATCACTGTAAAGATACTTAGCGCTCAGAATGGTATGTAATTAGGATTTTTATTAGGAACACTGCCAAAAAACACTGAAAAGCCAGGGGAAAGTATAGGATTTTTATGTTTAAAATATCTGGAAAGTCTGGGAATAGGTCTGTTGCACGCAAGAGATGCAGCCGACTGAGTAATTTTTCTAAAGGTAAGTTCGCTCGAAAATCACGTTGGGAACATGAAAGTCTATTATCCACTCCTCAGCGCATAGTCTGCGTAGTTTGTAGCAGGCTTTTTCAAATTCACCGCGCGTATGCGGGTAGTTCCTCTCGGTGGCCGGCAGTCCGGTTTGCCCGGAGAGAGACTTAACCTGAAATACCAAAAAATTTCGTGAACGGTTAATTACAAACTCTCCTAGCGTAACATATCAATCGATTCAATGTTTCTGTTTTTTCAAAATAAATAAAGAAATAGGAAACAAAACGATTAGACATACAATAGAAAAAGTTACTTAGTAGTCTATTTACCTCGGGTCGTTCTTTCTTACTTCTCTGCGATCTACCTGTGCAAACCTGGTCGGCGGTGGCTGAAAAAACTGTCCGCAGAGGCGGGAAGCTTGAAAAAGCGTGTTACAAACTACACAGTTTGCGCGCTAAGGAATGTATTTCAGACTATTTTGACGTACTCAATTTTGTGCAATTTTACCCGAAGAGGGGATAGATATTTATTTGGCTGTGCTTTTTGCGTGCAACAGATCAATTTATATATCCAAGAAAATCTTGCAAGTCATCTTGCAAACTGAGAAGATCTCGATAGATCGTGATTCTGCTTGTTTTTGCCGATAACAGTTTCACAGTGTTCACTGCTTGGGAACGCTGCCCCGTGCAAAAGAAGTAGATAACGATTTGGTTCCGATTTTCACATATACTTAATGCAGTTTGAATTTTCTTCATTCATTTTACGAAAAATAATGACTAACTCCGGATTATCCGAACTGGCTGGCCACAACATTAGTTCGGATAATCCGCGGTCTACTGTATTTCTAAGTAAATGAAATGAGAAAATTCAAAGGAAGGTAAAATGTATAATTGCCGATTAAGTCAGGCGACTAATTGCCTATATCAATGAAAAGTCTCCATTTTATATATACCGATTATTAGTTTACTTATTTCTTATTTTCAACCTAACTCATTACTTAAATCGTCCTGTCTTTGTGCAACAGCGAAGTGTGAATGCAATGAGCAGAGGCACATTTTGTTATCACAAGCGGAAAAGTTGAAGCAGCTTTGGCTCTCTCAATGGTCAGGTCTGGAAGCAACTATTCGTGTTCTCTGGATGTCCATGTTGCATACACAAGAAATTGCAGGCGCTTTAATTTTCTAAGGCACAACGTATGGCTGCGATTTTTCAATGGTCAGGTCTGGATGCAACTATTCGTGTTCTTTGGTTGTCCATGTTGCATACACAAGCAATTGCAGGCGCTTAAGTTTTCTAAGGCACAACGTATGGCGATGTTGATGGCGCAATCGATATTGAATGAAATATCTACCAATTTTTTACTCCCTTTCAAGATTATTTTCAGGGTGTCCATACTGGTACCTCAATATACCTTTCGTCGATATGGAACCATGTACAAACCATTGTCATTCGCTTCGTAGAACTGCAGCCTGATCGTTGAAATTTCGTGTTTGTCGGGTAGACAGAGATGACATAGGTTAAAAGGCAGAGTGTGATTGGTCGGCTATGTCTTATC